CACGCTCCAGAAGGGATGGTCAGAACAGAGCTCATTATTAGGCTAGTCCATATAAGAGCTCGTCATGCTGCCATGCAGAATCAAAGAATCACAGGAGAGCACCAGCTACTCAAAGGTCACCTTATCTCCCCCAACAGATCTTCATTTCTTCAGCATGCCCAATTTCCTAAGAGATCAAATCCTAGAATTCACGAGGCTAAATGAAATTCACACAAGACTTCAGCTTCTGCCTAAATACATGGATTTTTGACCATTCACATCTCAAAGTAATTTTTTTAAGTCCCTTAAAGCTCAAAGCCAATACGTAGGCCTTGAATTTATTTTCAGTTTTATAAATGAGTGTAAAACACAACAGTGCAGTCATATTTGGCATTAACTCTTACTAGCCACAAAAATGTGGGTCAATATTGGATTTTCCAAAGTTGTCTAAATAAGACTGGGTTTGTCAAAACTTGCCAGTTGCTTTCAAGTGAACACAGCATGTTGGCGGAAATGAAATGTAATGTCTAAAAGACAGAAAATAGGTCAGCACTGTGCAAAAGTAAACTTGTCAGTGAGATCAATATGAACCTACAAGTTAATGGGGATATTAGAATCTTCTTACAATAAGAGATGTGCAGGGTAGAGCCAGAACACGATTATAGCATTTATTCACTTGTGAAAAGCAGAGGATGTATTTAAATATTATTTTTTGTATCCTTAATGAAAGGCACTGCTTTTTAATACGGAATATTTATATGTAAGCACAGTCTTAGTTGATAGAATATCAGAGTAAATTAAATTTTGGTTCATTTGCTCAGTTTTTAGCAACATGAAAAATAAGAAAAAAAAGGGGGAGCAGTGGTCAAGCATCATAAAATTTCAGAAATATGATGTAAGTCCTTCATTAGGCTTCTCTGTGCTAAGTGTCTCAGAGAATTTGACATCGTGAATGAAATCAGTCAAAATTTTTGCAGGAAAAAAAAACAATAACAGAAAGAGCTTTCTTGGGGCTTCTCATTGCATTTATTTAAATTTTTAAAAAATGTACATCACTTTTTGAATACATAAAATGCCAGTGCTTTGCAACAGTTTTGTTACTGCATCTCTCAACTAAAAAAAAAAAAAAAAAAAAGGAAGGAAAAAAAACAACCCAGGAAAAATACATTCAAAAAGCCAGGCTGTTCTGCTTATGTACGGGCAGCGGCTTTGGCAAGCTACAGCCTACACTGTCTGTTCAGAGGCATTGCCGAACGAACATCAGTTAGCTATCGATGAAAAGTTGCACATAAAGCATTAAAGGATACAAAGAACAACTTGGTGGGGAGCAGGAGAAGAATGGAAAATTAAGAAAAATGCCACATATGCCGGGGTGGGGGTGGACTCAGGCAGAAGCAAGCATGAAGACTGATGTTTCTGGAGACGAGACTTATGGGAAAAGATGGGAGAAAACAAAGTAACGAGTTTGACAAGGTATAGATGCGTGTGCGCACGTGTGTGTGTGTGTGTGTGTGTGTGTGTGTGTCTCCACTTCCAATTTTCTACTTTACTGTCCAAGAGAAATGTGACAAAACTGAGGTAGAAATGAATGTGGGAGCACTATAGCCCAGATTTCAAAATGAGAAGCAAAATTGCACTGAGAAGAGAGGAGTCAAAAAGGAGAGGGGATATAGATGGTCTTTGTGGATATATATATATATATACACACACACACACACACACACACACATATATAAAGTTGATTGGTTGATTTTGTATTTATTTCTTTGTTTTTGCTTGCTATCTTCTGCATCCTATCAAACAGCACGACAAGCCTATAAGCTAGATTAGTGAATAGAATGACACCATTCCCAGCAGTTTTAAGAGAGAACTTGCAAACCAACATCACCACCACCCTATGCAGTAAAAGGCAGTCCTAGTTTTTAGGTACTGTGACTTCCAGGGTCCTAAACAGGTCTTGTGGCTGAGTGTTCTAGGTACTAACATAAACTGAGTAAGTAGCTTTCCGTTAACCAGTGTACCTTTTAAGAACATTTTCACTTCATTATCAAGGAGCAATGTACGAAGAACTCTTGCAGTTTTTGACATAAAGAACTATTCTGCTCTGGTTTATTCCCCATAATTAGTAAAAGAATCTTTTTTAAAAAAAAATCCTTCCATTTCTACTTTAAGTCGTAAATATTCAGTTGTATCACACGTCAGTATGTTTCTGGATACATTCAAAGTAATTTTCCTTTGCTATCTTCCAATTGTTGAGGTAAACATACATTTTAATATAAAGTAACATCGAAGCCTATCCCATTACTCTCAGCAGTACATAGTGCTTTCAACACATTCCTTTGAGGTACTGTACAAATCACAATCGCTTTCCTGAGTTTTTGCAGACAAGAACATTAAAAGAAATGAACTGCAGAAATTAAGGTCCAGATTACCGTTACCCTGTTTTAACTGTTCTTAGCTTAATACTGCAGAACAGACAGGATTGAGGAATACTGTTGCTCTTAAAATGGCAAAAATCTGGTTTTCTGTCGTAACACAACCGTTCATCTCTTTAGTCCAATAATGTTTGAAGTTAAAGCTCTTTATATTAGCACATGCCACCAATGTAATTGTGAGGCAAACAAAAAATAAAGCACCACTCCAGGCACTTGACAGCAACTAAATCTCGAGAACAGCAGAATGGAATCAACACACAAGGTTCACGTCCTTCTGAAATCAACACACTTGCACCTTGCTCCTTGGTGAGTGTTGTCTGGCTTGAACTGAACTGAGCATCAACAGATGCTTTCTGTCATCTGGGGCTTTCAAATCAGCAGCTCTCATCTGATGCGTTTTTCCTCCAAATCTACCCTGACGCTAAAGATGCAACGCAATCGTCATCTTCCCCAGTACCCTTTGCGATTTAAACACTACTGGAAAGGGGCTCTATACCCTATGTAGCAGGTTTTATGTGTGTGTGCCAACATTCATTACATTTTTTTTTTTAAAGAAGTTATCACTGACTGCAACCAAACATTTTGTTCCATTCAACATACATATCAAGCTCTTTTTGAGATATGCTAGGCTGAATCTTGCAGAAAGCATTTTCAAAGTCTTGATACGTAACGGGCCTCAACTGGCTGGGCATGATGGCTGAAAGGTCTGTGGCTGGCATGGCGTGGAGGGGGCCCACCGCTGCTTCCTGACACAAATGAGCCACGTCTAGTCCAGAAAAGCCTTCTGTGCGCTGGACGAGCAGTGCAAACTCCTTGTCATTGAGACAGTAATTGTGCTGTGAGAGCAGTTGTACTATTATCTGGTGCCTCGCTGTGCTGTCAGGAAGTGGGATTAAAAGTCGTTTCATGAAGTACCTCCGAAGAGATTCATCTATTTCTTCTGGTTTACTGGTGGCACAAATTACTACGATTTGGTCCTCAGCTGAAGTTAGTACAGTGTCCAGCTGCATCAGAAATTCCGTTCTCATCCGATTGACTGGACTGTGTTCCTCACTCACTTGAGGGGAGAGAAGCATGTCAATGTCACTGACAAAAATCACCGAGGGCTGGCGGCACCTGGCCACGAGAAAAGACGCGTGGATGATTTTTTCTGCTTCTCCTAACCACTTGGCAACGAGTCCAGAACCAGCGATTTTGAAAAACGTGGCCCCCAGCTGGCTAGCTATGCATCTGCCCAGTAACGTTTTGCCTGTTCCCCGAGGCCCAAATAAAAGGATGCTCCGAGGTGAGGCCGTCAGTCCACTGAACGCGTCTGACCTCAACACTGGCCATAAAACCTCCTCTTTAATGACCGCCTTTACCAGGTCGAGGCCAGCGATGTCATTCCAGTCCACCGGTGGTCCTTGGGCGATAATCTCATTGGTTACCAGGTCAATGAGGTGCGTGTCGGTATTCTTCAGTTGCTCGTCCACAGAGTGGTTGGATGAGGTAGCTGCACGGAGTCCAGGGCCTTGCATCGGGTGAGAGAGGAGCTGCCTGTGCTCGTCCCCGTGCTCACTCATTACCGGCGACGTGTACTTCCCAAAGGATTCGCTGGATCTCGATCCCAGGGAATTTTTAGCAGTACTATAGGAAGGAGGGGTCAGAGCCCTACTGGACTGGCTGCTGAATTTCCTTTGCTGTTCAGAGGACATTAGCTGCTTCGTTGGCTTAAATGCTAAGGATGATGTTTCAGCACTTCTGTCAAAGCCATTCCCCCGATTCGAGTTTGAAATGCTGTTGTCGGGCATTCTGTACATGGGGCTCTGGGTAGATCTCTGTTGGCCGTAGCTGTAATTTCCGTAACTGGAGTCCATCTCTCCTTGCCCTGCCATATAGAAAGCTTTCCTTTTGAGAGAACTCGCCGAACTGTTGGCCAGAGCCGCGGGGGCGATAGGTGTCAAACCATGGCCCTGGTAAGTGTAGCCAGGAACAGTGGTGGGGGGCAGAGGGGTCGGAGCAGGGATTCCTGAAGGCAGGTAGGCTGAAGGAGGCGGCGGCGCGCCCCCGGGGCTGTACCCAGATCCCACGGCAGTCTGAGGCGGGTAGCTGGCGGGGGGATAGCTGTAACTGGAGAGGTTAGAGGTCCCATTGTAGCCCGGGACCAGGGCGGGCGGCGGAGGGGGCGGCGGGGGCGGCTGCAGGAGCCCGGAGCTATGCAAAGGGGAGGGGTGAGGTGAGGGCAGGGCAGGCGCCGGCTGGCTGCTGTACGTCGAATGCAAATACGAGCCGTTGTATCCCGGGGCGTATTCCTGAGACGGGAGCCCTGCGTGAAGGCTGGGCACGGTGTGGCTTCCGCAGGTGCTACTCGAGTAGCTAGGTTCTGTCAGGTTGCTGGCCACCCCAGGAGAGCTCCCTATGCTGGCAGAGACATCTGCCGGAGGGAGGGCCGAACTGACTCCGGCTTTGCTGGCCGTGATGACATCCGGGACACAGTTCATGGGATAGACCGCTTCCGAATTCAAGGAAGGCTGCCAGGGTTCGCTTTCATTCTTCCGCCCGTTCACCAGCCCCGAGGGCGCGTCCGAGTAGTTGCTGAGTACGGGCCGGTCCACGGGGCCTTCTAGGATGCCAGAATACTTCTCTGCGTACTTTTTTAGCAGGTTGGAGGCAGTCAGAGCAGATATGTCATCGTTTGCCCAGGCATACTGATAGGTGCGCTGCAAATGACCTCGGTAGGCTTCAACTTTGTGGGCAGGAGACCGAGTGGTTGAGGTGATGTCAAAGTGCTGTTCTGGCCACTGGGCATGCTCCGGCGTCCACTGCATCTTCAAGCCTGAGGGTTGCGGGGTTGGGGGGGGGGGGGTTGGGGAGGAAAGGGCGAGGAGGGGAGAAACGTTAATTTACAGAGATACTCATCAGAAGTGTTAAAGCTTTCCCCCAACTTCTTTCGTTACCTATTCCTCTCTAACGACATCGACATTATAAAGAATTCTCACAGTTCATCGTATCTCTTACGATCCGTACCGTAGGTACGCTTTAAAACGGACCGACGTTGGGGCGCCTGGGTGGCTCAGTCGGTTGGGCAGCCGACTTCGGCTCAGGTCATGATCTCGCGGTCCGTGAGTTCGAGCCCCGCGTCGGGCTCTGTGCTGACAGCTCGGAGCCTGGAGCCTGCTTCAGATTCTGTGTCTCCCTCTCTCTGACCCTCCCCTGTTCATGCTCTGTCTCTCCCTGTCTCCAATAAATAAATAAATAAATAAATAAAATGGACCGAAGTTCAGTCCTGTGTAAAAAGTAAACCGAATTTAAACAAGAACTCTGTAGAAGACCTTTTTTTTTTTTCTTCTTTTAAGTAATAAGCAAATCTGCTTCTGTGAAGCCTATCAAGTTACTCGCTACCCACACGCAGGAACACACCTATATGTACACACACCTTCCTGTCAAATTAGAATTCAGTCACAGGTTCTTACAATGAAATAGGCATGTCTTTTCAATATCTAGCACGTGATACTATTAAGCATGTGCAATAGCTAGCTGTTCCGTCTCTTGACATCAGCGTTTCTGTTTTATATTTTAACCAATATAAAAATGAGACACAGCTGACAGATCACATCTAGGACCCCTCTCTTATTTGGCACTGAACACCTAGTTAGCACAGTATAATGCTCCCTGCGCAGAACAATATGACACAGACATAGCAGGTCATTCCATAATCCAACTCTCATCTAAAGTGCTCCACGACAGTTTCAAATCTGCTTCGTGGAGTGCAGCAAAGCAATCTCCCAGGCAGCGCTCCATCGCTTTCATCGCACAAAGCCTACAACTCGGTATGAATTACAACTGGCTCCTTTCTGCCTCTCAGTTCTGTTGTTGAGTCTCTGGAAAAAAAAACAAGCATCACTTGTCTGTCGGTCTTCCAGCTGGCATTCTCCCTCCTTCTCCTATAATCCTTCCCTCTGCTTTACAGTCTCCCAGTGCTAAGAGGGGAGGATACATATGCACATATATATCCACACACACGTACAAATACCTACAAATATATATATATATATATCCTACATATAAATATATATGCATATATATACACACACACATATATGTCCACGCACATATACCTATATATGCATATACCTATTATGTGTGTTTGTGTGTGGAGAGAGAGAGAAGGGGGAGGGAGGAAGAGAGGAAGGGAGGGAGGAAGGAAGGAAACAGGTGAAAGAGACCTGTTTCTTACAAGAATAGAGAACAGGGAGAGAATCTGGATTCTCTCTACATTTCTGTGGGAAGCAGTGTGTGGCATAAACTCAAAGAGTGCAGCCAGATAATGAGATGCTATGGGTAATTCTATCACCTGCTAGATTACTAACTGAAGCAAGGTGACTTAAGTAGCAAACTGTAAAGCAAGAGTATTTGCTCAGAATCAGAGAATCACTTGAATTTCACAGTTTAAAGAGACCTTAGAAATGACCTTATTTCACAGATTAGGGAACCCGCACCCAAAGGGATTTATAACGTACCCTCGGGGATTCACATAGACTTGGTTACAGGAGAGCACCAGAACCCTGTTTTGTTTCCCAGGGCTGGCTCACCCCATTCCAATCTCTGCTCGGTTCCAACACTTCCTATTCTGGGCCAGCTACATTAAGTAGGCCTCCTTCATCTCCTTTGTGTTACCCAAAGTGAATTTTGTGAACTGTCTTATGCCCTCTGGCAGAGATTCCTGGATAAAGAGGAGGCCTGGTCTAAGTGAAGCATCTGTGGCATCAGCTCCCTTCTGAATTACTGCAGTCTATTTTGACAGCTCCGACCCCCTTCTGCCTTCCTTCTCCAACCCCTTTAGCTCTTCATTCCCTGACTCTGGCTTCTGACATGGCCAGCTTTGACTCGCTGAGCTAAACTGAACACAGCACAGAGTTTGGTAACAGAATGGCATGTTGATTCCCTTCTGACTCCCTCTTCCTTGTTTGCAAAACCACTGCACCAGACACTGGAAGTTAATTAGCAGGATGATGCTGTGCTAATTGTGTTAATTTACAAGGTTTTAGTCAAAGAGAATCATGCCAGGGCTGGCACTGCTGTCATGCTTCCGACTTAATGATTAAGAAATACTGAAAACAAGGTGGGAAGGATTGCAGTAATTACACAATAAATGAATAAAGCAACAGGATTCATTTGCAAATATATTTTACTGCAGTTGTACTCATTTGCATTTGGATTTTTAAAAAGGATCCATGTAGATATTCATTTGCAAATCACCATCTCAGTTAAATTAAGTCTGAATGCTGCACGGTATAACTTAATCAAGCTCTCGCTTTTTTTTTTTTTTTTAAATAAAAATACAAAAGACCTTCTACTTCTCCTGCAGATGCAACAGATTCTTTCTTCACTTTCCTTTCCCTTACTCCTCCCAAATCTTCCTGTGTTTCTCTTTTAAAACTCTATGAAAAATATCAGTGGGGAAAAAATTGTGAAATCCTGATGAAGTACAGCTTGCATCATTTCAGTCGGAGGAACTCTGGGGGTGAGTTCTAGGAGGGACTGAAGTGATATTCTTAATTGTCTCTGCTTTCTCAATCATTTCTTTTTAACGGGCGCGGGGGGGGGGGCAGGAAAACACATCGCAGAATGGGTGAAATGACCGAAACCACACTTAAAGGGGGAAAGATGCAATTTTAATGAAGCAGCATTTCAGGAATCATACTTTCATTAAATTCAACTGGAAATTATTAAGAGCAAATCACCAGGAACCAATCGCAAGTAATCAGTATCTAAATTCTTCTAGTGTCATGGGATTTACTTCAAGCCTTATAAAAAAGGAAAGAATATTAATGTGACTGTAATGTATAACTGTCTAAAAGACCTACAAATTCATTAGTCCTGTAAATTATTTCCAGGGAATTTCTATTAGGGTTTTTTCTTTAAGAGATTATCAAATACAGAGTTGAGAAAATAAGAAGGCACATGTGCCATGAGTGGAAATTTGATTAGATTGATACAGAAGAAACGTGAATAAATGTCTTGAGAGGAGGTCTCCGAAAATATTTTGGGAGTCATGGGAAATGGAATTTACCACAAACACAACATCATACACACACGCACGTGCACACACATGCACATGCGCTGTAAGGCATGGGTTCCTTTCAGTTAGCTGAGCTCAGCCATTGTTGGCATTAGTCAACATACATGATAAAAGCCCATTAAAAACTGAAATGCTCTAGATTTAGAATCATTATTTAAAAAACAAAAAAGGGCATCCTTCCACCTTATTGGCTTACATTTTTTTTTCTTGTAAATGACTCATTTATTCAAAATGTGCAAAAATGATTTTAGTAAGTTATGATCACTGTAAAAGAAAGGAATATCAAGTTGAAATAAAGTAGGTTGGTCATTTTCACTGGGTACGTCTGCAGAGTTTAACTCTAGCAAAACGAATACATTTCCTAAGGTTTCTGTTTCATCCGAAATTAAAAAAAATCCTATCAACATTATTTATTTGGGACAATTACCGGATATACCATTGCCTTTTGATTCTCATGCTATTTTTAGATGTGCTTTCCAAGATGATTGAAAGTTTATCTACTGATGCATACTAAAGGACAGTAACCTTAGCAGGGCTGCAAAAGGCAAGAGTGAGCTTTGATGAAATAACCTTAAGGGATCAGAATCATTCACATCACATCCCTTGGAACATGAGTACTTACCCTGTGTTTTAAAATCATTAATATTACCTGAAAGTGTAAGTTCATAGTTAACCATGAACTAGTTCTTAGTGGCAGCTGAAGAAGCCAGCGTTCAGGAGACTGTCCTGGCCTTGGGAGCACAAAGAACTTTGTCATCAGTTTCTTAAATTTTAATAATAATTGGAAGGCGAGCCAAGCCTGTTTGTGTTGCTGTTATTATTGTTCTGTTTATCGACGGTGATGTTTCTGATGTGAAATAGAAGCAAACTGTAGAGCCAAATGTTCTTTGAACAAAAAACCATGCCCCATTTGATTGTATTGCCGTTGTCCATGAGTAGGAAGCAGCACGTGTATGTCACTTAACTTGGCACCCAAATAATAAGATGGGCTTTAAAAACAGCTTTCAGATGGTTTCTCTTTGGAACATGAAGAGAAAAAGCTCAGAAACAATACTATTTCACCATTGTTAGAAACATGACTCCAGAAGAACTTCCACTGCTGTTTAGAAATAGCTTATTAACTAGGTACCATAAAAATTCAGGAAACAAAGGAAAGTAGAAAAAAAAGAATAGTTCTTCAACACAATTGACGAGTTGTTCCAAAACATCAGCTTTTGTTTCTGAAAGGATCAGAAAATTCTTACCACGGCTGGCAAGTTTCGCGAGGCAACGCGTTTGTTTTTAAAATATGTAATTTAAAGAAAATTGCTTTTAAGATACTTTAACATAAGTATTACGCAAGAATGATTGATACTACTGTAAAAAGCCCGAGCGTTTTGTTATTTTATTGTTATAAGAGGAATCTCTGTATATATCAATGAACAAGCCTGTATTTCCCATAACACTGGACAGTTTGGATAACATTTCCCATTCTTATCATTCCTGACCACTTTATAACTTAGGCTTAATTGCTAAACAGTGCTGCCTCACTGCTTTACTCGCTCCATTTTGTTCTTGAACTCTGTTGAGACAAAACAAGTGCGACACCCTTCAAAGCTCTGTCATAGCTTCAAAACGATAAGGAAACGGTTATGCAGAGAAAACGCAGGATATAAAAACAACTTTCAGGATGGGAGGAAATCGGAAATAAAAGACTAAGCCCCTGGAATCTATTTTTGTTTTAATTTTTTTTAACGTCTATTTATTTTTGAGAC